AAGCAGTCTAACTCAGTAACTAGGACAGCCTGGTTTAAAGACAAAAAACCCCACAGTATGTAAAATGTAACAGCACCTAAAATAGCTTTTTTAATAAGCTGTGGCCTATATAAAATGCTCTAAAAATGGCCAAATTCTCATTTGGTACAGTAAGCATAACTTGTAGCTTTTTTATTCATCCCTAAGATGCTATTCCCAACCTTAGCAATTAAAAACCCTATACTAACTACACAGAATCAGAAAGAACAGGATAGAAACAGTGCCAGCTCTCAAGGACAAGTTATGCTTCTAGCTGCAACTTCTCAGGCATCTACTGAAAGAAAAAAAAAAAAAAAGGCTGAATACAAGTAAAGCAAATGACAAATTGAACAAAAAATCTCTTCCTTCAACATCTTTTTTTTCTTGTTATTACTCATTCTAATTAAGACTTATTTCTTGCAGTGCTAATAATCTTATGTCTGTAGGAGAAATACACTTCCATGGAGTATGTCCATATTTGTCAAGACATGGAGAAAAGCATATAATTTCCTGTAATCATTGCTTTTTAAGTACTGCCTTAAAAGCATTTCTCTGTGGAATGCAACAGAAATTATCTGGAGAGCTTCTTGTATTGTTTTAAAAGAAACATTCACAGACTATACTCAAAACGTAATTCATCCTTCCTCCCTCCTAATCCCAGAAGAAACCAAGACATGAGCAAGACAACAGTCATTTGCCTTCAATAAAAATCAACCTATGTGTCTTTGAGGACACGTAAACTTCAAAGTTTTCTTTAAAAATATCAGTCGGCACAACCACAAACGGGAGCAAAGGCAAGTTTTGAAAAAGAACAAACTTGAAAGCTGGAACTAAATGACAATTCTCTCTCTCTCCACCAGTGCGAGGGAGTTGGAGGAGAGAAAGAGTTAGGTTTACATCTGTTACACCAAGCTCTCTTTCTCACATAAAAAATGCAATTTTTTTTTAGTCATAGAGATTAGCTAGAATAACAGATGAAGAAAAGGCATTCCCAGGTGGCATCCAGCTACAATAAAAACTGGAAGGCTAAGATGGGCTAAGTAAGCAGTGCCACAGTGCTGCCCATGAACCTCATCAGAGTTTTTCACAACCCAGTGTCTCACCCATCTACTGCCCATTAAACTTGCATATTCTGCCTTTACTCTCTCTTTTCCCCTGAAAGATGTATCAAACTTCACATATCAGAAGTTCTTGAAAAATAGTCGTGCTGAGGAGGGAAGTGCTGTTTCCAGGAATTTCTTATCCAAAATAGAGTATTCACTTTTTAGTCCATGTACAATTCTGATAATAAAACAACTGAAGCATATTTTTGTAAGTCACACTTGAAGGGAACAGGGTAGGTTGCTGTGCAAACAAGGACACAATCAGATATGCTTTTCAAACTTAAAACATTATTATCTCCAGCTGCTTGCCATGGTACACTCACTCAAGTTCACCTTTCTTCCAGCATAACCACCAGCACACGCATACACTGCCTAGTTTTAAGTTTCATCAAAACAACCCAAGACAGTTTAATCCTATTTTTCTGGCCTTGTTTTTCAGTAGAATTAGAAAACAACCATAAGTAAAGACTGATCAGTCTTCCTTGGTAGCAGATATACAATTGTATCAATCAAGTCTCCTCTAGCAGCCCAACTGTTTATAGAAGCTGGATGTGCATTCGAGTTTCAGTACAGTATAGCTTCGAATTCAGTCCCATGACTGGTCCAGCTTATCACACAACAGTGTCAGTTTGCACCAGTTTTGGTGAATATAAATCAAGTTCTTTTCCTACCACATTAAACCCAAAGCTCCATTCCAAGTAGTTGTCAAATGTGTTCCCACATCTGGGGAGAACACAAGGGTTTGAAACAAATAACTTATCCTTCAGGCAGCTTCCAACCAAACATACTCAGTTCAGGCTACCTAATCTGAAATAAACCCTGACTACTTTGGAGATGTAGGGGCCTTAGTACTATCTACTAAGAACTATTTCTTCTCTATTCTTATTTCGCCAAATCAGTTGTGAGAACAGACATAAGTAAGATCACTATGTCTATAACGATTTTGCTGACACTCCCAAGCCCATACCTGAATGTGGTCCACAATTCACTTGTGTGAAGAAATTTCCTGTGCAGCACTGCACTAGGCAAGAGAAACAACATCTTTCCTCAGATGAGAGAACAGCCCAGAACTAAAGAACAACATGCTCCAGGAGACCTCTTGACTAACCCCACATGAACCAGTCCCAAATTCACAAAAGCGTGTAAGTGGGGCCTAATTAACTGATTTAGGTTGGAGGCATTCATATATTCTCACAAAACTGCAATTTATGACTCGAGCTGCTATTGATCTGCACTCTATCTAGCCACTGGTTTACACAGTCCCTAGTACCTCCCATGTACATATCAGACTATTCCCTAGCTATATTTCACTAGACATTTTCACTAGCTACCTTTTTAATGGGTAATTTTTCTGACAGTTTAGCAGACCAAGGCCAAACAAGCACTGAAGACAGTACAAGTAAGGGGACAGGGAACTACAACTTACCAGGGAGGGTGGGTAAAAATGAGATGCAGGACACTGGGCAGGCAGCAATTTGATCCAAGTGAACAGCAAGGGGGGACCAGCAGCCTAACTTGCTACATGAGATTCAATCAGTAAAACTTGCCAGATTAAAGGCATGGAGGTGCAGGGGAGAAAAAGGGGAAGAGGAAAAAGAAACAAAACAATAACAACAACCCAGGAAGCTCTGTATAAACCATGGGCAGATTACCTGGATTTGTGGATTAACCAAGGCCTCTGGTGGGGGGGGATCAACTCTGGTGCAAAGTGAATATTAACTCAGATCAAGGTCTAAGGGCACTCCTAGCACAGCAACCACACTTTCCTAGCACTACTAGAGTCTTCACTCTACTTCTGCATAATCATCTTGGCTGTCTCTGTGGTAGATACCTGTGGGGCTCCAAGGCCTTGCTAGCACATGCATAACCCAAAAAAGGGCAAGATCCACGAGTCCACACGGAACACACCAGGGCCAGAGCTAGCACTGAACACAGCTACTGTTTTCCAGCTAGCCCTTCTATTGACAAAGATCCTGCTTATGGAGGTTACTTACTTAGGGAGCCCTGGTGATTCCAGAGCAGCAGTGTATCCATCTGATGATCAGTATACTTCGCAGTAAGTGACCATTTTATAATTTACAAGGGAAGCTTAAACAGATAATAACCTTCTTCTATTGCAGCGGAAATCGAGCTCAGAAAAAAAAGGTAATCCTTTAAAAGCTGGAATTCACCTATTAATATTCAAAATCTACAGTTCAGAGGAAGCTATGAAAAAAGGAAAGGAACTTCAACAGAACAGAGGTTGAAATGCTTGACAAGAGGCCAATGCTACTGACAGGGCTTCCAGTGTCCCCCCAGAGACACGTAATTGACATGTACGATTTTGCATACGATGAAACGCACACGCATATATACGTACACTCACGTCCGTCTGTATTTTGTGCGCGTGCATGTACACGTATGTATGCATGTCTGTACGCACACCAGCCCTTAACTGAAGACCCCAGCGAGCACCTCCCCGCTGCGGGCCACACACTCAACCCACCAGGGCACAACGCACGGCACGTACAGGGGCTGGTCGGGCCCGCCGAGCTCCGGGAGCAGCAGCTCGGGGCTTGCGGGGCTCCCGTGCCCACGCGCCCCGCCGCGTCCCCC